TGGTCAGGAGATGGAATGGCTTCCAACCCTCATTCGGCTCAACAATGGTGGTCAGCTTGAGCAGCCATTGAACTATGATATGCATGAGACCTTCTTCGCCAAGTCTATTGTTACCCCAGAAAATGACCTCCTTGATGAGGCTACCGTTAGGAACTTCTTCACCTACCTCGCCACCGACGGGCAAAAGGCGCCAGTGAACTGGTGGATAATCTGCGACCTCTACGGAGGTACCGGATCCATGGTCTCTGCTCCAGCGGTGTCATCTACTGCTTATGCTCACCGTGATTCCTTGTTCACCATCCAAATCTACTCCACTGCTCCTGGACAGGTTCCACCCTACCCGCAAGGTGGGTATCCATTTGTCGATGGAATTGTGGATTCCATCACCAAGTACCAGAACGAGACTGTCTTCAAGGCGTACGCGAACTACATAGACCCTACCCTCACTAAGAAGCAGGCTTGGGATTTGTACTATGGGCAGGAGCATATGGTTAAGTTAAACAAAATCAAGGATACCATTGACCCCACCCGGGTCTTCTGGAATCCTCAAGCAATCAGAGCTTAAATGAAATGAGTAGGCGTTCTTTCTCGGCGGCAAAAGGAAGGATCGGAGGTGATGGGCATCGAGGGTAGAACCTAGTAATTTTAGGGATGTTTGGTATACTTGTGGTTAACTCAGATTTTGGGTGGTTCCTGGGTGGGTAGACATTTAAGATGACCAGTGTACCATAATTCCCTTTGTCCAAAATATAAACTAGAATGGGAAGCAATCTAGCGCTCGAAGGAAGCAACCTTAATACTTAGGCACTACATGTAGTATCTGCTCTATTCGTTACGAATTTATAAACATATATCCCTTTGTAAATCCTCATATTACGGAGTGTGTCATAGCCGTAATCCAAGACTTCTACTGTAGCTACCTACCCTACGTCCTAATTATTGAAATTCCCGGTATTTGGCTCAAGGAGCCAAAAGCTTCGTCAGGGAATTGCAATTTCAAAGGGGCGATATCGGCCATATGGCTCGCCGAGATTGGAAGGAATCAGAGATGAGAAGGTTCCAAAAAAAAAAAAAAAAAAGAAAAAAGGTGACTTGTACCAATGAATACAAAAGGCATTGAAACGGGGACCTCCTCTATTCCCCCCGCCATTTCAGCTAAATTGCAAAAAGACAAGTGGCCCTCATGCGTAGCGTTGGAGTATGATAATTTACGTGAAGAATAGGAGTTTGTGCCCTGTCAGGCCGCAAAGTTGAATGAAGGGTGCCAAGCTACTGCAGTCGTTGGCCTATCGGGCATATTTGGGGATTCTCGACAAGAGGAAAATGGCGAGTCTAGCTCCTGCAAAGCCTTTAGCCAACGTGTAGATGAGATCCGATATATCAACTTCGGTAGTCAAGGAGCTATGATAGTACAATTACCTACAGAGTATAGGGCAGCAGACTCAGACGCTATAAACAAGGTTCGAAAAGCACTCACCTCGACATAATCCATATCGGCACCAGGACCCGACGAAATCTCATATCAACTCCTCAAGCTGATCAAGGACACACACCTGGGGGCAGCAGTACTAAACGACATAGCCTGCTGCGTGGACACTAACCTGACCCCCATTCCTAAGGTTTGGCAAGCACTGGTGATGGTCATGATCCCCAAGCCGGGGAAAGACCACTCTATAGTCAATGGCTGGCGTCCGATCATTCTGTCCAACACAACCGGCAAGCTGGCAGAAAAGATCATAGCAGCAGAGCTCCAAAAGGTCACAGAACTTTTTCAACACCTTCAGTACGCTTCAAGAAAAGGCTGGTCAGCAATAGTCAACAAGGCAGAGAGAGCTCTGGCGGAGGGAAAACAGGTCTCTATATTAGGTAAGGATATCGTCTCCGCCTTCAATAATGCAAGGAAGGCATCATGAAGGCTCTAGATGCCATCAAGGGTGGGAAGAAGTGGTCCCCAATAGTCGAGAAATTCCTAGAGGAGAGAAGATTCAAGGTCTGATGGGACGGAAGGGAAAGAAAAGAGACGAGGATGAACCAGGGAACGCCACAAGGAAGCCCTTTTATCACCCAGTACTGTGGCTCATATATATTGCAATCCCCCTAAAAGAGATAGATCAGGGACTGCCAATCGGACTCACACCCACAAGAAGAAGCCCCTCTCGCTCCAACTCATACTGGCTATCCCAACACGCCATATACGAGGCAGCAGTAGATATCTTCAGCTACGTAGATGATGTCAACCCTCTCATAATCACAAAGGGGATGAGCAGGCAACAACACGAGCAGATAGTTAAGCAGGTCGACACGCTCTTGAAAGAGGCAGAAGAAAGATACCAGCTCAGGTGGGATAAACATAAAGAGAGAAGGCTCGACTTCGTAACCACTGGGAAATTCGGCAAGCCAATCTAGGCATCACAGTAGACACCCACCTCAACTTCTCCCACTACGTCCGCGGCCGCACCAAGAAGGCAGCCTCCCTACTCTCAGTTTTGGAACGCCTGTCAAACAGCAATGGGGGCATCAGTAGTAAGGCAAGTAGAGTGATATATACAGGGATGATCCAACCAGTCTTTACTTGGGGAGCGGAACTTTGGCACCGACCAGGACAGCTCCTCGGACCCCAAGCGGACTTTAAGCACCTAGAATAGAGTATTGAGGAAGATAACCAGGGCATACTTTGGGAGCAGCCACAAAAAGCTCGCCTGGATTGCGGGCATCGAACATCTGGAGTCAAAGTTGGACGACCTATCCCGGGCCGTAGGCCTGGGCACGAGATGTCTCGAGACGTCTCGTCATTTACCAGGTTGGTCTCGAGACTTTTCCATATCGAGCACCCAACACAATCATAATTATATTCGAACACGCTAGCTAGGTGCAGATAATGAGTGGAGAAGGACGAGGAAGAGGAAGAATATCTACCTTTAAGTACCAAATAACACATATTTACACGTGAAGGCTATCATAGTGTTCGTCTCAAGGGCTGCTAAACTGTATGTCGCAACCAATGAAAAGTTTTCGCAGCCATCGAAGATCTTCTCAGCCACCGAAAAATTTTCACAGAAAGTCTCGAGACATCTCGTCTCGTGCCCAGGCCTATTTTTCTGACAGGATGGTACCAGAGGAACTGTCCTACGGGGACCGGGACGACCGGCTCGTCATACGACCCTTAAGGTTGTGCACACGAGTACTGAGTTTAAAAAAAAAAAAAAAAAGACTGGGACGACCACCGCCAGGAGCCAATCGCCCACCTTGAGGAAATCCCGCCGATAGCGACAGGTCACGGCAGAAAGAGAACTGGTACACAGAGTTAGGCAAACTGAGGGACGAAGGCTGGTCGCTCGTCTTTACTGACGGCGTGGGTGACAAGAATGGATAGGTAGCAGCAGCCGCGGTCACACACGAGACTGAACAAGGAGCGTTCCTTGGGACCTAGCCACGGTAGCCGATGGAGAGGAGAAAGGGATTACCCTAGCGATCGAGTCAGACGCCGAAAACCTCCTAGTCCTAACGGACTCCATGGCAAGCAAACAGGCCCTCTTCAGCCTCAGCAAGGGCGCCACACCTAGATTAGGCATTGAAAAGGAACTAAAGGACGCACTCCACAGGCGCACAAACAAGAGACAGCCGTCAGCTGGGTACGAAGCCACATAGGTATCCCAGGCAACGAGAAGCAGACAGGAGGGCAGCCTATGAGTCAGCCTTAAGGCATATCGCTAGGAGCGAACCGCGGCAGGAGTCAGAGCAGGAGCGAAAGCCAGGAGAAAGGATCAACGCTCGGAACCAGGGTTCGGATCCAACAGGTGCCTCTGGCACAAACACACCCATACGCATACACCTAGCTACGCACCAGCCGAGGCCCCTTCAACCAATGGCTGCACACAATCCGCAAGGTAGACTCACCGGCTACCCTCACTGCGACCACACTCAGGAGGACGGCTTCCATATTGCCTTCGACTGCCCCCAACACCGCCGAGCTAATCGGAAACATCAGGACGTGGAAGGAATTAGACACACCGATTTGGAAGAAGGAAGGGGAAGAGGAAGAAGAGTGGGACGCGGTGGAGGCGTACTTTGCCTTCCTCTACCGTCCCCTCGCTAGACGATAGGAGAGACGCATATTTGATATTTGCTGCTTTGCTTTGCTTTATTTGCTGCATTGCGTTGCTTTGTCAGTTTGCTGCGATGTCGCGATCACTTTTGTACATAACTCGCGCAGGGCAGTCAGACTAACTTGACTGTCCCTTGAATCCACCTGGCTTTCCGGTGTGGCTCGTAATGCGACCCTTAAGGTTGCGCACATGAGTACTGGGTTCGAAAACAAAAAAAAAAAAAAAAAAAATGTCAAGGAGCTGACCCATTTGTATCCCTGAGACCCCAACCTTTTTGCAATCGTAGTGCCTGCAATAGTAACAGTCCAGCTTCGTTAGATGAATGGCAACATGTGATAGTGAGGAAGCTCTTGAGCGAATTCTTGCAGTGCTTCTAGTCGTTTCATCATGTGCAGAAAGGGCAGCCTCCAAGTCCTAGCAGATTTCATGTCGCCCGCCCCAGGTGGTTCAGCTGTCCTGCTCAGCCAGGGTAATTGCCTCTACTGGCTGCGTTCACATTGCAGCCTCTAAGTCCGGAAATTTCATATTAGTTTCAAAGATTGTTGGGCAGGAGTCAATGGTATGCAAGCTGACGTCTTTATGTGCCAATGGCTATTTACACGAGCAGATGGGGGGTACTCACTAGTCTGCTCTAAAATTACTTGGTGGTGGTGGTCTCTACGGAGGTTGTGCAACCAGACTAGGTGGTGCCAGGAGTCCAAACCCATTGGCTAGTTAGAGAATCTGATAAGCATGCAAAGATAAGCTCAAGTACATGTAATCTTGGCACCACCACACAATTACATGTACCTTATCAAGAACGGAAAAAAAAAAAAAAAAAAAAAAAAAAAAAAGAATCACCAGACTATAATCAACCCCAGATAGACTTCACATGACACAACACATGCATCCTGCGACTGGTTGGCGCAATTGGTAGCGCGTTGGATTCCAAAACCTGCACCATGTCTCTTGCTTGTTGTGACTAAATCGGGTATGGATGGTATCCAAAGGTTGGGTGTTCGAGTCACTCATCGGTCAATCTATTTTTTTTTTTTTTTTGGGGTTGTTGGTTGTTGGGTGGTGTAAGTGTTGTGCGACAGCGGGGGATCTTGTTTTGTTTGGTTGATTGAACTGGGTGCGTCACCTAGAAGGTGAGGGGTGGCCTGTGAGGGTTGGCATAGCCGGCAATTACACTACATTGCAATATACCTTCGTGTTACTACAACTAGCATCCTTCAGCGCGGGGCGATAACCCCTAATCTTCTTACCCTGAATCCAGAGACACATAGGTAACAGTACAGTACAGCGCTGGAGGGTTTCAAGTGCGACCCTTGAAAAGCGTCTCAGCTGATGATCCCCCACGGTTGTATATTAACGATTCAAGCTCTGCTGTTCCCCACATATATTTAATTGCATGTAGGTATTATTTCAGACAATATGTATGTACAATGCTCCTAGTCATGACAACTAGACCGTATTTGGTTAGAATCGGGTCTACCCGAAAAGTAATGCAAGTATCCTGTAGATTGAAGTAAATACTCATTAATGCCACATGGTGTACTACTCATACCCATATTCTTTAAGATTATGGCTATACAGCCAGGGAATGAGAGTAGTGAAGAAGTAGATTAATAACGAGCGGAGGTACCGTAGATTCGTACGTTGGGGTTGAAGCAGCGATCTGCAATCTAGCTTGATCGAGATCCTTATTAAGCCGGACTACACACTTTAGCATCCAAACATCAAGAATCCTGCGCCATCAACATCGCATTATCTAAGCAAGTACATAGAGGCACATAGGCGCAGTCTTCTCTTCAGTCTAATATTGTACAATTTCAGATATGCAAATGAATGTAGATGCCCTTCTCCTGAGACATAGAAGATAGAGCTTCGTAAATATACAAGATCCAACCCTTGGATTTTCTGGGATGCTCTAGCTTTGTTCACTACCCCGGTGGTTATCTTCGACTTTTCTCATACTGCTTAGTATTCCTTTTTGTGAAGGCAGTTAGAGTTCTTCTCCAGATACCCCCGCTTATTAATGTTGCGCTCCCCTCTGTGATGGCGAGGTTAGCACAGGACCAATACACCTTCACATTGGAGGGTTGGGCAACAGGAATAAATTCCAACTTATACTCTAATAAAGTGTATGCAATATATGTTACATATATGCGTCCCGTGATATGATCAATATGCCAATCGGATGTTGAACCCATCTGCCCAACATTAGAATCATTGGATGACAAGATAAGGTCGACAGTTTAGGGGACCTGTTTATGATTTGAGCTGAGTTGCTTATCTGCTGCTAATGATGCTAATGAACTTTTAATTTATATCTCCCGCCCACCAATACATACAGCGAGCGCTGCTGCAGTCGCAATCCTAAGCGAAAAAGAAGGTTTTTCACCGTGCATTGTGCATATAAAAACCGAATAATCTGCATTGAAGTGTAGACGTAGCCTTGTGTAGACGTACCCCCTTGAGCTGCTATTGGATATATAAGCCTCGGTAACAACCCTCGAAGTGTAGGCGTTGATGTTACTAAAAGTATGTTACTGAACTGCTATCGTGCTTAGAGTGTACACTACCCCGAGAACGGCATGTTTGCCCGTTAACTTAACCAGATTATTGATAAGCCGTGTTTGTTAAACCCCACTCTCGACAACAAACCCGTTCTGTACAGTACCTCGTCCTTGAACCAACTCCCCTTTCCAGCTTCTCTGCCACCGCTACAAGCTTCACTCTGAACTCTTGTCTGTTAAGTTTGATCCTTTCTCCTTGAGTAGTCAAACCTGCAAGTATCGATTAACCCTTGTCAAACAAGCCGCATCAATGGATACTCATAATATACTCCGTGAAAGTAGAAGTACCTTGAGCACTGCCTCAAATACTTCCTCGAGTGCCACGTATGTAAAAAACTGACCATCCGGTAGCACAGGCCTGGTCGTACTAACCTTGAATCGCTTCCAGGGAACCAAAGTTCCTCTACCACCAGAGCTCGAGCGAATCAGTGAACTCACTCGGCCTTCCTTCGTCAAGCCCTTTGACTCGGCTGTATAAACTCAAACCTGAATATGCTCATCTGAGAGCGGTGCATCCAGGGAAGCCGCTACGTAAGACCAAGGAGCGTCTCAAAGAAAGATTCGCAACTATTAAAGAACGTGTTATCGACAGGCACGACATCGATATCGAAATATCAAAAGATCTTCACACTCACGAACATCGCCCACATTCGTCATCCAAATACAGGTTCCCTCCAATTAGCCCGTCTTATCAGGCCAAGATGCTTCTCGAAGAAACCGACTTCGCCGCCTCTCACCTGGAAGTCGAAGAAGTGGAGCCTGGCCCGGATGGTATAAAGGCCTTGCGAGTGACAGTCATCTACCCCATTGCAAGCGAATATTCGTTACCCACCGAGATATCAGACCTGGACAGAGAGGCCGTATGGGAAACATATTTCCTCCAGATGTCACTTTACTACCGGGCCAGTGCATCCACCCCTGGTTATGGCACCATTAATGCTGACCGGCCACCTGCCGAAACAAGGGAAGACAAAATAAACGTCAATAAAAGTTCGAGACATGGAGAACAAGAACTCACACTTTCCCTTCTGCACCACCTGCACATGCTGTACGATTTGTTCGAGCTTGACAAGCATACCACCGCCAACAGGGGTCTCGGCTATTACAGCAGAGTGTCGAAACGTCCTTATGATCTCGATGGCGGCGATTGGGCGCCTTACTTCAACCCCAAGAGTTTCAAACACATTCTCGTTGGCAGGTTGTTCGATGCCCTATATAGCTTCCTCACCCAGATTCACCGCCTCCAGTGGCGCGTGAAGAAGGGCGAGATATGGCTTGAAAAACCTATCGACGCCCAATGGGTTTCGAAAATGCTACTAGATGCCTGCAGAGCCTGGGATGATCTCTGCTGGTTCGAGGATTGTTTTAGCCCTACGGACGTTCCCAAGGGAAAGTCATACTGTCTGAGACCAACCATTAACCACCCCGAAGCACCTACATCAACAGCCGGTTTACCTGGCAACTGGATTCGGAGGCTTTCGGAATCGGTCCCAGCGGGCGATTGTCCAACGGCTCCACCTGCTGTATGCACTGCTCACACTGAGGGACCACATGGGCGCGAACCAACTGCCACAGAAAGCGTTCTACAGTACCCGCACATGGAGATTCCGGGTCCATTGTCAAAGGTTGCGTTTCAGGTTAGTGCAAATCAGAAGACTCCAGGTATTGGGAGCACAACTGACCTGACTTCAAGGGTGGGCCTGAGGCTCCGGTTAAAGACGATGTCAACGAGCATCATGAAATAGAGGCATATAATCCTTCAGTCAATGGCGAAGAAAAGGTTACTGAAGGACCTATACCAAAGTCCGTCAGCGTCAGTGAGATCGAAGATGAGCAGTCTGTCAAACGACAAACCTCAGCTTGTCCGATAATTCATATCGCTAAACAGGTACCACCACACTCTGTCGCTGAACACCCTGCAGTACTCTCCAAGAGCAGGTCGGGAAATAACAACCCACATGCACAGCCTTGCAAGCTGAACGAGAAAACTCAACCTAAGCAAGCCATAAAATCTATTGACGAAGATCCTGAGGCACCAAAGCTCCTTGATGCTGTGGCAAAGAGGATGATTACTGCGGCCGATAAGGCTAAGATGGATGCATTCGAGGCTTCTTTTAAATGGGCGAGCCCGAGGTCCGCTAACAAGAAACCCGGGAATCTCAAGCATGACTTCAAGTTCTCTGCTCGTAGAGACTACCCGGACAGTATTCCAAGCATCGCTGGGTCGAGTGGAGCCGCATCTTCCGCAGCCCCTAGCTCTTCGGCAAGTGACCCTAATCGAAAGGAATCACAAGCTGTCAGCACTTATGGACCATTCGAGTCCGCGGGATATGCTAAATTGCCGTCCCCTTGTGGCTCCTTCGAAAACGAGAGCTATATTACGCGGCTCTGCCATAATGAAGACAATTCTGTCCATGTCGATGAGAAGCGGAACAAGCTCAAGTTTATTTCCAAGTTTTTCAAGACAGGCGGAGCGAAGTAAGAATGGGATAGTTATGAATTCAGGGGTTCTCTTGATTGCGTTGGGGACCTGATGGGGTTTGTCTTTTTTGTGCTACAAAAATTTCTCGCTTTCACTCAGAGATTGCGGTATTGCTCAAGATCTCTGTTTTGCTCTTAAATCTGTTACACCTTGAGTTTCTCGCTTCGGTTTCTTCCAACAATGTTGTTCATTGTACATTGTTGTTGATTCGAAATTTGGCTTTCTTAATCTTCCGGCGGAGCGGGAACGCTGCTGCTCAAATTGCTGTTTAATTCTGGCTGGCTTTGTGTTTGAATATTAGGAGATGACTTCTGCCATGGAACCTGTACCCTGGATAAGTATCTAGGGCTTTCATCTGTTAATATATCTTCTCACATGCCAGACTGCTTCTCACATTCTTCCGTACGATATTTCTCACCAACCAAATGGGGCAATGTATCTCAATTTCCAAATGGGACGCTCACTCACTCCAATCCAGCGTGAAATATCTGACCTTGCCTCTCGTTCTCCCATCTTACCCTCTTGCCAGGGTCAAGAACATAAAGGGAGGTGGGAACAGGGAATGAACTTTGGCGGAGTAGAGTTGCAAGTCCGTTCTTTCGCTGCGGCTTGTACGGCAGAATACCAAGATCTAGAGGCAGGACTCAAGAACATGTACATGTGCGGGGGCAAAGGCTGTACTTGCAATGAAGCTCTGCCTGATGCACAATTAATTGCAATTCATCTCGACGTCCCAAACGAGCAGGCTGAAATAACCAGACTGGACCAGTAATTATATTTCCTTCTACTCTTTTTCGAAGCCCGTTCCGCATGTGGAGATACTCGACTAGGTACCTACTTAACTTAGTAACATGCAGAGCGGCGTGCTGCCACGACTATACAGTCTGTATTGCCAGTCTCTTCGGCTTAAATATTCGGCTTCGACGTCGCGCGGGACCAGTGAGCAATTCTCATGAAAGTAGAAAAGAATTAAT